ACTATCAGAGGTATTGCGAGGTGATCAGAATGCATGGCTGCATGGAGTAAGATAATAGGATAAAAAAAGTCATGTTTTTTTGGGGGGTTCTCTTCCTCTGTGTTGCTATAGGTACATGTCATCATTGTACAATCTGTTGAAAGGATGTATTCTAGTGTTCTATGTTTTAAATCATTTTTTTGTGAACAATAGCTTGTACAAAATTTCAATATATAAAATTTTTATACTTGTATCACCCACCCACCCCCCCCCCCCCCCCCCCCATCCTTCATCATTTTTTAAAGATACAATTTAGTTCTGGACGTTAATGATTGATTTAACACGCTTAAAACACTGATCATTTTATTGTTATATTTTTAACTGAATAGGTGATGGGTCTGGGGCCAAAGTACCCAATAAACAAAGATAGTACATTAAAACCTAGCGTCGCTCGTTTGTATTGTTACTCTAGTTGTAAAGCTACACGATGCTAATGTACTATCACAGTCATGTAGTCAGAGTTTTTTTTTTCTTTATTTTAAAGAAATTAATATTGTTACGGTACTTAGCACCGGTTTAGACACTCCATGGTCCCATCAAGACACGAGACAGTCGAGACAGTTTTATTTAGAAACCTACCGAGACCTCGATAAAATCTTGTTACGGCACTTAGCACCGGTTTAGACACTCCGTGGTCTCATCAATCAAGACACACCTACACGAGACAGTTGAGACAGTTTTATTTAGAAACCTGCCGAGACCTCGATAAAATCTTGTTTCGACACTTAGCACCGGTTTAGACACTCCGTGGTCTCATCAAGACACGAGACAGTCGAGACAGTTTTATTTAGAAACCATCTAGCGAGACCTCGATAAAATCTTGTTTCGACACTTAGCACCGGTTTAGACACTCCGTGGTCTCATCAAGACACGAGACAGTCGAGACAGTTTTATTTAGAAACCATCTAGCGAGACCTCGATAAAATCTTGTTTCGACACTTAGCACCGGTTTAGACACTCCATGGTCTCATCAAGACACGAGACAGTCGAGACAGTTTTATTTAGAAACCATCTAGCGAGACCTCGAGAAAATCTTGTTTCGACACTTAGCACCGGTTTAGACACTCCATGGTCCCATCAAGACACGAGACAGTCTAGACAGTTTTATTTAGAAACCATCTAGCGAGACCTCGATAAAATCTTGTTACGGCACTTAGCACCGGTTTAGACACTCCATGGTCCCATCAAGACACGAGACAGTCTAGACAGTTTTATTTAGAAACCATCTAGCGAGACCTCGATAAAATCTTGTTACGGCACTTAGCACCGGTTTAGACACTCCATGGTCCCATCAAGACACGAGACAGTCTAGACAGTTTTATTTAGAAACCATCTAGCGAGACCTCGATAAAATCTTGTTACGGCACTTAGCGCCGGTTTAGACACTCCATGGTCCCATCAAGACACGAGACAGTCTAGACAGTTTTATTTAGAAACCATCTAGCGAGACCTCGATAAAATCTTGTTACGGCACTTAGCACCGGTTTAGACACTCCATGGTCTCAGCAAGACACGAGACAGTCGAGACAGTTTTATTTAGAAACCATCTAGCGAGACCTCGAGAAAATCTTGTTTCGACACTTAGAACCGGTTAGACACTCCATGGTCTCATCAAGACACACCTAGACGAGACAGTCTAGACAGTTTTATTTAGAAACCATCTAGCGAGACCTCGAGAAAATCTTGTTTCGACACTTAGCACCGGTTTAGACACTCCATGGTCCCATCAAGACACGAGACAGTCTAGACAGTTTTATTTAGAAACCATCTAGCGAGACCTCGATAAAATCTTGTTACGGCACTTAGCACCGGTTTAGACACTCCATGGTCCCATCAAGACTCGAGACAGTCTAGACAGTTTTATTTAGAAACCATCTAGCGAGACCTCGATAAAATCTTGTTACGGCACTTAGCACCGGTTTAGACACTCCATGGTCCCATCAAGACACGAGACAGTCTAGACAGTTTTATTTAGAAACCATCTAGCGAGACCTCGATAAAATCTTGTTTCGACACTTAGCACCGGTTTAGACACTCCATGGTCCCATCAAGACACGAGACAGTCTAGACAGTTTTATTTAGGAACCATCTAGCGAGACCTCGATAAAATCTTGTTACGGCACTTGGCACCGGTTTAGACACTCCGTGGTCTCATCAAGACACGAGACAGTCGAGACAGCCGAAAAAGACTATTATCTTTCAAATAGCGCGGCATTATCCCGGCTGTTTCCCTGGGACACCAGTTGGCAGTACCACATCCCTCATTCTATAGAGAGCTTGTTTTACAGCGGGAGGGGGGTGGGCTGGTATTTTAATACTTGCTGAGAAAATTGAGGAAACGAAGAGATGAGGTGATGGAACTGTCGATATTTCTGTTTCCGCATTAGACCGTTTTGATAGCTCTGGCCACGGTGGGCCGGGTTCACTCGACTATTTTCACGTTCGTGTTATAAACCGCTTCAACGTTGTTTTTGTTTTATCTCAAACTACTATTTTATTAAATCGTTCGGTATGTAGCGAATATTAATTAAAACCCATTCCATTCTCTTTCTAGTCTTTTCACTGAACAATTTGAATATAATCGATGTTGTTTTGTTTTTGTTTCTTAATTAAAAAAAACAAAAACTGCTAAGTTTCTGTTGCGATAAAACGGGATCCGTTTTTGTATTTGTGAATGTGATACACCACACAAAAAATCACATCAATATAACGAATATATTAACTATGCCGTCTGTGTTTCTGTTTATTCCCGCAAGAGTAATCAGGGAAGTGAAATCGTCGCTGCAATTCGCAGTATTAGATTACATAAAGCTAACTGTTCCAATGATTCATTACTGTTGCGGAGAAAGAGGGAATTTGTTTTTTCCTATGCATGTCTCCCAGGGACAATATTTCCTGAAAAGTCGGGGTGTCTCGTTTCGCGATTTTAAAAACTTACTTTTTCCTTTATTCACATCATGCATTTGAACCGTATGAGCTCAATTCCATATTGTATTGAACGGTGACAGGACAAATCGTATATACTAATAACATTTTGCTGTGAGATATTTTGTTTGAGATCATTTGTCCATGATATCATTGTACTGATATATTTTGTCCTGGTATCTTTTGTCCGTGAGATCATTTGTCCTGATATCATTTGCCCTGAGATCATTTGTCATGGAACCTATTGAACTTATGTTCTTCTATAATGTATACAAGACTGATTCGTTATTGAAACTACCACTTTTATACGCAAGTACTAAAAAGAGTTTGTTTTTAATCGTTTAGTTTATTAATTGGGGATTTTAAAAATTGTCCTTAAAGTTTTGGTCAAATAACCTTAGTTCGCTTGACTCTAAAACTCACTTTCTAAGATCGTATTTTAGGCTCATTAATGAGCTCGTATAAATTGTGATTTAAAAAAAAACAGCTGAGCTTTCATTTTGCTAGACTTGTACACTCGCAGCATACGATTTGCTGCGTTCGGTTGGATGAGCTACTTTTATCCCACTGATGTAAGGTTACTCCCAAAGCTTGTTTTACCCAGAAGAGCCATTAGCTTAGGACAAGGTGACCTGCAAGTTAGACGACATTCTATTTATATTGCTACTGTATAGATCTACTTCAGACATTTGCCGCCAAATGACTCATGCCAACCGCCACTATAACCGAAAACAATTACTTCAGGAGTCATTAAAAATATTTTAAAAGACTCAACATATTTTTAGTTTTGATAGTCTAGTGTTGATAAGGTATTTTTATCATTTAACCTAGATCTACAAACAATTACATTCCTTTTGTTTCTTTGTTATGTACTTTTGTCCACTTCTAATTGGAGGTTAAACGCTGAGCTTGCAGTTTTAGCAAGCCAAAATCGGTGATTCGACGACATTAACACGGGAATCGTCAGTGGAAGATCAGGTCCCTTGTTTCATCACGTTAACGTGTTTCTCAAGCAAACTATCTCAAGCAAACTATGACAATTGTCAGTGGAAGATCAGCTCTCTTGTTTCATCACGTTATCGCGTTTCTCAGGCAAACTATGACAATTTTCAGTGGAAGATCAGGTCTCTTGTTTCATCACGTTATCGCGTTTCTCAAGTAAACTATGACAATTGTCAGTGAAAGATCAGCTCTCTTGTTTCATCACGTTATCGTGTTTCTCAAGCAAACTATGACAATTGTCAGTGGAAGATCAGCTCTCTTGTTTCATCACGTTATCGTGTTTCTCAAGAAAACTATGACAATTGTCAGTGGAAGATCAGCTCTCTTGTTTCATCACGTTAACGTGTTTCTCAAGCAAACTATGACAATTGTCAGTGAAAGATCGGGTCTCTAGTTTCATCACGTTAACGTGTTTCTCAAGCAAACTATGACAATTGTCAGTGGAAGATCGGGTCTCTAGTTTCATCACGTGACCGTGTTTCTCATTAGTGTCAACGCTCAAACACAGGCGTGTTCAGATATCGATTTCTCCTCTCAGATCATTTCTCTTTTACCGTTTTTAAAGGTTCCGTCCTTGTGCTATTTACACTTCTAAGTAGTTGCCTTTGTAACAAAAGGTTAAACACTGCTTCAATGTAATTCTTCTTTTGAAATTGAGTAACACAACCGTCACTCAATTTTACTTGTATATCATGAGCGCTAGTTATACTGCTTACTGGGCAGAATATATTGACTATGTATGACTGTTTAGCGACTTGCTGTAGCAGCCTTTAACAAGTGCTAGTTTTCTTATTTGTATATATCTCTTGCATATGTATGTATGTATTAGATAATGGAAATCTCGCTAGTTATACAGAACAGTAAAAATTAAGCGCATGAAGTTATTTTGGAGTGAGGTTTATTTTTAGAAAATATTTTGGTTTCTTGCATGTAGTAGAATAATATTGTTGAATATCTTCAGAAATATCCATATCCCAGTCGTACCGTCCTAACATGAAATGTATAGTTGAATTTGGTTTTACTTGAATCCCCAGCGAAACGATGCGACTGGACACGGGTCTGATTATCGAAGTATGGAACAAGGGTATGTTGTGGGACAAGCTGTTGGGGCTTCACTGGCTACCTCTCACCAAGGTCCAGCACTCCAACAAGGTAAAACTATTTCTCTCACCACCCCCCCCCCCCTTACATACATACACTTCATACTCTTTCTTTGTTTTGATTTGTGTTGTTGAGCTGTTGGGTCTTCACTAGCTACCTCTCACCAAGATCCAGCACTCCAACAAGGTAAAACCAGTTCTCCCCCCCCCCCTTACATACATACACTTCATACTCTTTCTTTGTTTTGATTTGTGTTGTTGAGCTGTTGGGTCTTCACTAGCTACCTCTCACCAAGATCCAGCACTCCAACAAGGTAAAACCAGTTCTTCCCCCCCCCCCCTTACATACATACACTTCATACTCTTTCTTTGTTTTGATTTGTGTTGTCGAGCTGTTGGGACTTTGGCTACCTCTCACCAAGGTCCAGCACTCCATCAAGGTAAAAACTATTTCTCTCACCCCCCCCCCCCCCCCACACACACACACACTCTACTCTTTATTTTGATTTGTGTTGTTGAGCTGTTGGGTCTTCACTGGCTACCTCTCACCAAGGTCCAGCACTCCAACAAGGTAAAACTATTTCTTCCTCCCTCACACTCTCTACTCTTTGTTTTCATTTGTGTTATCGAGCTGTTAATATTTACTTGTATGAACTTTTATTTTAGAAGAAGAACTTTTTTTCCTCAGGAGGGCAAGGGAAAATGGCTGACGTTGGATTGTGAGCTGGTTATTAACAATGGTGAGGTTGTGGGGACCCGGATACAGACAGAACACAGAATTCTCATAGACGCTCGGTTTGAGTTGCCTTATGGTGAGTAGAGGACTCTCGTCTTTATTAAGTGTTGATTTTGTCGCTTTTAAACAGTAGGTTTTTAATTTTTTTGTAAACTTTTCTCTCTATAAAATAACATTTTATAAATTCATTGTGTGTTTATTTTACATAAATTGAATCACTTCAATTTCACTTAAAATAAAAACAAAAATGTTTGCCAGTTAAGCTAGACATAAATGACCAGGGAAAAAAGTAGAAAGATTATATTTTGTCATGACTAAATATCTACCCTACCATTCACTGCACACTTTAATTTGCTCCCAACATCAGTAATATTGCCATTCGCCAGACCCATAATAACTGTATTTGTCTCATTGCTATTTTTCCGGTCTAATGACCTTTAATCTAATGATTAACCCTTAATCTCATGTCAAAAGCTGGATAAGATGTCGCAATCGTGTGCTTATTAAAGGATCACTTTCATCAAAATTTGATTTTTTTTTTCTTATAACAAAAGACTGAGCCCATCCGCCGTATGAAAGCCATCATTGCCTCGTGATTGGGAACATAGCGCAATGGAATGCGAGATCATATCTCAGTCGTTCGGCGATTGGATAAATAGGGACGTTGACGTCATAAAACATGGCGGTGATTACACTCTCCACAATTTGTGTGTGTGTGGGGACACTCTAGGGGTGGGGGGAGGTTCTTGTGATGTCGTCTGGATAAACGTGGCCCGAAGACACGGGGAGCTGTAATTGATGACGTCAACGCAAGATTTCTACAAATCTCCCGGTAGACGAGGGATGGAGTCTGAATATTTTTTTTTCATAAAACAGACACATACTGGTGTTGAAGGGTTCGATACGAACTAGCCCGATGTGAATATGACTAAAATGTCTTCGTATTGTCGTATATTGTAAGTCTAGTGTATTGTCGTGAAAATTGGACATTTACATAAATAACAGTAAATATATTGAACCCGAGTAAGGAAAATCTTCATGATGAGAATGAATGAAGAATTGGAACTTACCAAGAGATCTATGACTTGTACAAAGACCCTGAAATAGTGGTAAAATAAGGAAGAAAGAGATTGTTGGGACATATAGAAAGAAAGTCAAACAACAGAGGGGTGAAGGAAATACATAAACACCAAAGGTTAAAGGGCAAGCCTAAGCTGAGATGACTTTATGGACAAGATTGGTGTCCATATGTGGAAAACATGAGACAGCAAAGACCGAATAGAACATGGTGGTCATGCAGGTCTACATGGGGTGTTGAGACACAATGGATGGATGGGATAGGATGGATGGTGTCTAATCCTTGACATATTGAGACAACTAGCATAGTGTTAAGTAAGCTTGAGAGTGGTGTGGGACAAACAAAAGTAATCTACGTGTCTTGTTTTGTTCATCTTTAGGTCGACACTATGGCCCAAAAAACATTAAATCTAAGTAAGCTTAGTTTGTGTTCTGGGTTCAATGTCATTATTAAAATATTCTAATTTTTAACATTCTGATTAGACTTTATTTGTTACATTTTACAGTAAATTTCAAACACAAAGTAGGCCTATATCTTTATATATTGCTCTTCATTTATGTTTTTTTTTCTTTTTTTGTTACTCTCCGGGATACATGTTAGCAATTTCTTTGAAGCTCATCAATTACTTTTAAACATTCTACTCAACTACTACATTCTACTTGTCCTTGCACACACTAGCCGTTCCCCAATATCCTAAATCACATTTATTCAAACTCATTCGCTTGTGTTGTCACTTTTTAAAAACCACGATAAATACAATCTTCACTTCGGTATATTTCATTCGTGTGCACCAAACTCATCAGATGTCAGCTAGACGGCCATCACGTCTATATCGGTAAACATGAAATATAAGAGGGGATCGTTAGCAGGACATTTTTAAACGTCAGTCTCATTCTATATATAGATGGGATTTTGTTTACTTCACCATGAAAAATTGTGTTTGTCTCAAATCTCTGCACAGTTTTGAGTAGAGAATGGGATAGCGAGTGGATTCAGAGTTTTCAATGTTTTATTTTAAGAACAGCTGTATTAGTTAACTGGGTATGTTTAAAAATATATAGATAAAAATAGTAGATGCAGTGTGGTTTATGTAAATAGTTATAAAACAAGTAGTGTTAGTTTCCTCACAAATTCAAGACAGTAAACAGGTACAATGCAAGTTTCGACCCAAAGTCTTCGTCAGCACACAACAATTTTTTAAAAGACTCTGCATTTATCATGAGACATATTTAAGAAATAACGTTGCTAAATAGTAACTTTCTATTCGTATCAGTAAGTTAAAAATAAAACATGTACATATAACTCTATGTAGATCTTTAAACAGATAGCAAAAATCGAATGCAACACAAGATTGACGAATCTTTTTGTTGATACTGTCCTTAAGATGAGATTCTGTCTCCACAAAAAAAAAATGAAATCTTGTTTTTGCAGTGACTTGAGTTGTTTTTCTTCCTGTTTATCCATGTTAATTTTAATATCCTTCACTATTGTTCTGTCGTGTCAAAGGAAGCCATCTCCAGAGGGGAAAAAATTAATTACATCAAATTTCTTTAATTTCTTTCTGGTTTTTTTTTTCTTATTAAAATTTTTGGCCAGGCTCATTAGTGGTGAATAAAAACGTTTTTTATAATTTCAATGTTTTTATAATTTCAATGTTTTTATAATTAAATCACATTTTAACATTAATTTCTGCCTCTTTTCATTATTTTTAATCTCTAATATCCTCTCTCTCTCTCTCTCTCTCTCTCTCCCTCTCTCTCATGGTCTCTCTCTCCCACTCTTGCACTCACTGTTTCTAATTACCTTCGTATATTTAGCTCAAGCTCCTGTTTCCCTACTGAAATATCATATCTTTCCCTCAAACTGGATCGTTGTTTCTGTAATTACATCTTCTGGTTGGACTCTCGAAATGAATCAACAGATGTATAGAAACTGTCTCTAGCGGCGACAATGTTTGATAACTAACCTGACAATTTCTTGTGATAATTAGCTCTATTTTAACAGCATTAGCTGTGTAAGTTGGGTTTTAACTGATACCCTGAACATGTTCACATTGTTCTGTCCACAGATCTACCAACTGTATTTTAACAGATGTTGGGTTTTAAACTGTACCGTAACTGTTCTAATAAACATGTTCACATTGTTCTGTCCACAGATCTACCAACTGTATTTTAACAAATGTTGGGTTTTAAACTGTACCGTAACTGTTCTAATAAACATGTTGACATTGTTCTATCCACAGATCTACCAACTGTATTTTAACAGATGTTGGGTTTTAAACTGTACCGTAACTGTTCTAATAAACATGTTGACATTGTTTTATCCACAGATCTACCAACTGTATTTTAACAGATGTTGGGTTTTAAACTGTACCGTAACTGTTCTATTAAACATGTTGACATTGTTCTATCCACAGATCTACCAGAATCAGAAGCGGCCGAGCTGCAAGACAAATTGTCGGTCATCAATTCTATGATGAACCAGGATGTAAGTTGTTTCTCTTTTCTTTTAGTTAACAAAAACATGTCTTTATTGATGCCTTGCTTAAATCAAAAATACATTTCTCTTCTAAAACTATTATTGCCACACCTCAACTTTATCTTTGGTTGTTAACATATTTAGAAACTAATCTAAGCTCTTTGTATTCATATTGTTTGTGATATTGCTAAACAAGTACCACCTGTTTTTGCTCTCATCTGTTTAAATTTTCCTTTTTGCTGGTGTACCTTGTACCTTCCAAACACATTTTTATCGGTATTTAGACAAACTATTTTATCACCTCCTCAAAGGAATGACTTCTTCTGTCTCGGATTTGGACCGGCTGAGTTTATAAAAACCTTTACATGGTCACGTTTATCAAAACTGTCCGTCAATATTTTTAAGCTTTCAGCCTCTCCCAGGCTCACAGAATCGCTACTAGTTTTTTTTTTTATAAACCACTTTGGGTGCTGGCAGACAGACCGTCTAGTACTTTATTTTTAACAGCGTGTTTGGGTAAAACGTGAATGGACATCAAAATGTGGGCTTTAGATTTTGGCACGTTGTTGAGTACCGAAACTTCTATCCACGGTGCGTCATTATTAGTCCAGAATGTGAACTTTATATTTTGGTATTTGTCAAGTGCTGAAAGTTCTATCCATGGGCGTCAACACTAGTGCAGAATGTGAACTTTACATTTTTGAGTACTGAACTTTCCGTGGGGGGAGGGGGAATGTTATCACTAGCCCAGAATGTGAACTTTACATTTTTGAGTACTGAACTTTCCACGGGGGGAGGGGGGGGGATGTTATCACTAGCCCAGAATGTGAACTTTACATTTTGGCAAATTGTTGAGTACCAAAACTTCATTGACTATTTTATAGCAACAGCGTTTATCTTTTTAGATCCGCCACACAAATGTTTAGATAGCTTTTATTGATTAAGTTGGCAAAATTTACTTAGAGTATTTAAGAATTCAGTGGGTTTTTTTTTTAAATATATGAATATTTGCTATGGTTAAATTAGCAGTTACTGTGATATTTAAGGTAAAGTCGTTCCTTAAAATGTATCACCGAGGTGTATTTTATTTTTAAAAGTTGGGTAAAAAATCTTTATTGTACAAAAAGCCGATGGTAGCTTTAAAATTTAAATTAAACATTGCTTTTAAAGAAAGGCCAGTTGGAAAGGGTAAACATATTTTGATCAGCCTGACTTGAGTGGCAAGTAAGTGTAGAACACTGTTCTAATCAATGATGCTGCGATGCTACCTACATTGTGTTTTCAAGTTGAAGAACTTTGCAATTACCATCGATTCGTTTTTCGTGACTGTGTCTATCGTAGTATCATTTTTAGCGTGTCTTCCAGGCTGCTGGGAATTTAATAACTCCGGTATTTTAGTTTCCTTTGCAATTAAATCCACGCTGGCATAAAAAAAATTGTCAATACGGTCGGTTTTAATTAATGCTCAAAAGCAGGGCCCGAGGCGACGGGGTGAAGCCTTGGGTATAATTAAATAGTTTATGTGATTGTAACGTGAGGAGTTTTTTTACGTGGGGAAGTCATTGCTTGTAGGTTTTAGAGAGGAGGAAATCATTGATTTTAGTTGTGAGTTTTTAAGTGGGGTAATCTGTAATTTTAGTTGTGCGTTTTTAGGTGGGTGAAATCATTAATTTGAGTTGTAGTTTTTTTTTGGGGGGGTTGGGAAATAATTAATGTTTGTAGTTCGTTTTTCAGATGGGGAATTAATGTTAGTTGTGAAATATTTTTGTTGGTTCGGGGAAATTATTAATGTTAGTTGTGAAGGTTGATTAAAGCGATGGAAGGGCAGGGGGGGGGAGGGAGGGGGGGAGGGATGTGATTTCAGGTACTTTACTATATGCGCTTGCTTAAAATTTCCTCATGGCCAACTCTTGTTACAAAATAAATTAGAAATGAGGTTTTAAATGATACTTCTGGATGTTAGTGTAGGGTTTTAACTTATCATTACTGATTGTAGAATGAAGACAAGTAGGCATACTGTAGCTACACCGTAAACAATTGTAAAGAAATTATTTCCTCCTATCAGGGGACCTGATTATATCCCCTACCGCCCTCTCCCCCCCCCCCTTTTTAAAAAAAAAATGTATTTTATTAGAATCTTATAATTTCCATAAGTGTTTGCATAGCGATAAGATCGTTATTTATTTTTATATTTCTTTTTGTTGGGTCAAGTATTGTATAGTTTCCACTATTTCAAGCTAAACTTTGTTTTCTGTTTTTTTAAAAATACCATATAAGGAAAAAGGAGTGTGGATGGGACGTTTCTACAGTGCTACGTCTTGCATGTACACTAGAAAACAAACGCGGGGGGGGGGGGGGTAGTTGCAATTCTTCTAAAGTGTCCGACAACCATCTGTGAAATGATTATATTTTCCGACAATCATTGCAAAATTATTAAATTTCCTACAATCATTGCAAAATGATTACATTTCCGACAATCATTGCAAAATGATTACGTTTCCGACAATAATTGCAAAATGATTACGTTTCAGACAATCCACTGCAGAATGATTAAGTTTCCCGATAAATATCTGTGAAATGATTAGGTTTTCCGACAATCATATGTAAACTGCATAAGGTTTCCGACAGTGAATTCTGAAATGCATACGTTTTTCCGATAATCATCTGTGAAGTTATTCCAATTTTCCGACAATCATCAGCGAAATGATTAACTGTTGTACGAAGGAATGTTGAATACCAAAACTTGGCCCTCGATTTTCCTTAACTTGTAACGTGGTCTGCTCGCCTCTGAGTTTGAGAACCCGTGTCTTGTGTACGAGAACTGTCATGTGCCGATGTAGCTGTTTGATTTGCCGCTTACGTCTGTCTCAAGGGCGGAACAATCTCATCATTGGACTAGCGTGTACAAAGGATGGGAGATTGACGTTTTGCGTGGCGTAGTTCAAACAGCGACATATACAGCTGTCAGTGTCGTTATTTATCACGTAGTTAAACCCTTATGTCTTTACGTTGGTTGGTATAGGACCATTACTCGGTCCCTAAGGTCTCCTAGTCTCTACCATTGTTAATACAAGTTTGTGGATTTTTTTAACAATATACTGTATTAAGCACACACACTTATACACATGTAGATGTATGCGATTATAAGTAGTAATAATGTATGGAAAAAAAAAGTTCCCTTTTCAAACCTGACGGTCTATAGGGCAAGTTAAGTAGAGTTCACTTGTTTCTGTGACCTCGGCATATGAAGAGATAGTGTGGTCAGCACTATGCCCAGCCGCCTTTACTTTCCCTAACGTGAGTTAGGTACCCTTCAAAGTTGGGTGAACTCAGGGACGGTCTACTGATTTGAACTATGAAAGTGTGTGAAAGTATGATATAAAATAAACTAAAATGTATTTAGAATTACAGCATATTGTAATCGGTCCTTCATACGCTTTAAAGATGACATATTTTTAACTAGCCGCACATATTAAAATACTTTTGTTCAGTAACAAACAACGATCGATATTTTCAATAAAATTTTTGTTTGCAAACGAAGGCATTTTCGATGAATAGATGCGTAATGACACTTTTAGTTCAACAATGTCTGATCGTTAACGTCTAAGATAAAGGAGAATGATCGTGCAATTTTTAATTCAGCTCTCATTGCGTATTGTGAAAAGATAACCGATTAATTTTTAAAAAAAAGCGACAGCTTACAATACAAACTAAATACCTATGTAAGACACATTGGTATCGTATTTGAAATATGTTTTGATGGCACATTCATCTGTATATTAAAACCTACCCTTAACATCGTGTATGATGTAAGTTAACTGATCCAGCTTGAAATTAATTTACCCCGTGTGGCCTCTTTTCAGAGCCCTTGTGATATAAAGGCAATCATTACCCCTGGTGATAAAAACCCTACCAATCAATACTTATTGCCACTCTGCCGTCCTCGCCCCTGCTCCTTCGTACATACGTCATGTCTCGTCTTGATACGTCCCCATGGGATCTGGTTTTTCTACTTATCAGCGATTCTCTCGTCAAATGCGAAAAGCAACATAAACATTAAATCTTGAACTTTAGTGTTTAGACCCTAGTTCTCTAATACCCAATGTTTGCTTTTTGTCAGTTTCTGATCCACCAGACGGTTCGTCAATAATTGATCTGTCTTAGAAATATTGCTTATACCTAACCTTCCATTTTCAATATTTTTCCCTGATGCCTTCGCCCCAAATGCTTTTCGCGCCAAAATCTTACTTTTATAAATTCCGCCCACAATTCTTAACGTATGTCTTTCTGTCAAGTCCTATCCTGCCTCGAAAAAAAAAATCCCAATCTTTCCATCCCCATCCAACTGTTTACAACTCTTCCTTTCTGGATCAATCTTCCTTTAACCCTCCCCCTTTTTCTTCATGCTCCATCTTGTTATAACACTTCCTTTCTGGATCAATCTTCCTTCAACCCTCCCCCTTTTTCTTCATGCTCCATCTTGTTATAACACTTCCTTTCTGGATCAATCTTCCTTTAACCCTCCCCCTTTTTCTTCATGCTCCAACTGTTTACAACTCTTCCTTTCTGGATCAATCTTCCTTTAACCCTCCCCCTTTTTCTTCATGCTCCATCTCGTTATAACACTTCCTTTCTGGATCAATCTTCCTTTGACCCTCCCCCTTTTTCTTCATGCTCCATCTCGTTATAACTCTTCCTTTCTGGATCAATCTTCCCTTTTCTTTCCTCCTCCCAACAGCCTTTCCCCCAATGTATCCCGTATGAAATGAACGGACATAAATTACTTTTTATGTCGATAAAAGAAGCGATCAGCCATTGGTATACGTACAATGTCATTTTATTCTTGTTTGGTTTCATCGCTACCGCTATGCTGGGGATAGTTTTTTCCCTCTGAGGTAAAGGCGTTGAGATATTTGGCCCAGAGACATTGAATGTGCATAATGAAATGCAAATACAGAATGTAGCCTCACGCGAGACACAGCTTCTGCTCTTGGTATAAATGCTTTTAT